AAATTTCGCCAAGATCAAATGGTTAATATGAACAAATACTGGATAATTTCCAGATTCAAAATCAAAACACAGTGTGTCAGTTTTGACGCTATTGGTGTCTTTTGTTCTTCATGCCTCAAATATTACTTGGAATATGCTTAATGTAACCAAGTGTGCCCTTATTTAAAAGTGGTTTATTTCAAGAGGCACCATAACTATATAAACGGGGCTTTTATCCCTCTTGTGTCTGGTTATCGCCTTTGATAGGAGATAACTGCCATCATTTAAGGATCAGAAGTATGGTTTAGCCATTAAAAGTCAAAAAAACGGAAAGTATAATAATAATGACCTAATTGGTTCATCATTAGTAAAACAAAATACTGTGGTTGGTGAAATGGATAGGTACAAGCCCTAAAACTGAAAACTGACCAGATTTGTCTGGTGAGGTTAAAGAAAAAAACAACCAAAGACTTATAAATTGCTCATGAAATACTAGTATCAAAGCTCACTAAGGAGATTATAAAATTTATGTATCATAAGCTAGGACTGAATTAGTAGCCCAGGGTAATGTCAGAGAAGGAAGCCTGCAGTTATCAAACTGACAGAACTAACCCTCAAAAACTCTGCTCCCATTCTTTACTCTCCAGGAAACTTTAAAATACGAAACTTGGTACATGCCTACCAGGAAGGTGCTGTAGGTAAATTTTAAATTTATTAATAAACCCATTGAAAAAAGTGGTTTATGTATCTACTGAGTATTAGGCACTAAACTAGGAGCTAAAGATACAAGCCTTGATTAAAACAGGCAAAATGTTCCTGTGGAACTCACATTCTACTGCAGGAATCAAACAGGAAATCACAATTTCATTTACTGAGCCAACCATGCTGAGATCCTGGAGAAAGGCAACACGTGCTAGGTCTCGTTTGGTCAGAGGAGCACCAGTGCACGAGGACTAGAAGACAAGATAGAGAGGGATAGGAGAAAGGAGGATGGGTGCTAGGTCAAGAAGGGTGGGTGTCAGGTCCGGCAGGGCCTTCCCAGCAGTTGTAAGGCATGGAGGGTTTTCAAAGGACCATGATCCAGCCATCTGAGTGGAATCGAGAGCTTTTAAGATACTGTGAGAGACCATGGTAGTCTGGGAGTAGAGGCAGCAGAGGTGAGAAGTGGTTCAGTTCCAGCTGTATTCGGTTCTGGTATATCCCAGACTTGCTGGAGCACGGAACATGGGTTTGATGGAAGAAATCAAGGATGACTCCTAGGGTTTTGGTATGCAAATTCGGTGAGTAGTGATGCCTGAAAAATAATTCTAATTGGAAATCCTAAGTTCAAGGCGCTTCTTTGACATACAAAAGGTGTCGCTAGACCAATGAATTAGAAGACAAAACACTTGGGAGAGGTTAGATGTGATTTACCAAATTGGCAGGCATCGTCGTGTAAATGGCATGTTAACTGAAAACCTGCATTTCTGAGCGGGCCAGGGCAGCTCTTCAGACTGAGAGGTCGTCAGAGGAGGGAAGAGAAGCCAAACTGCTAGGAATGGCTAGTGAGGTGGAAACCCAGGAAGCCTTGTCCTCTTTGAAGCCAAGTAAAGAAAATGTTTCAAAAACAAATGATTATCTGTGCCATGTGTTGATCTGGACCAAGCTGCTGCGGTGCAGTGGAGGGATAAATGCTCTTTGAAGGGACTTCAACAGAGGTTTCTAACACGTAGGTTAACAAGTTTTGCAGTGAAAGGGAGCAGAGAAATGGGATAGTAGCTTAGGAGGCTTATGGAGGGAAGGAGTGTCAAGAGAGTTGTTTATACTGGAGAGGAAAAATAATGGTGCAGATGAGGACAGGGTGACTAGAAGCAACTTCTGCAGTGGAATCAACTGCAGTTAGGACCAGGTTTAAATAGAAGAGTGGGGCGCCTGGGGGGCTCAGTCGTTAAGCGTCTGCATTCGACTCAGGTCATGATCCCAGGGTCCTGGGATGGAACCCTGCCTCCGGCTCTCTGCTCAGAAGTGTGTCTGCTTATCCCTCCCCCCCACCCCCACTCGCCCTCCATTTCAAGTAAAATCTTTAAAAAAAGAGAGATCCAGTTCACCCTATGCAGCAAGAGGAAGGACTCTGTACACTGATGCAGAGATGTTTGGCAGTAGGAAATGGGCTGGCTCTAATTTAGTATATTTCCTTAAATTATTAAATTGATATTCCAGCTTAGAAATCTTTTAAGCATCTTTTAGTTCCATCAAGGTGAGCTGGAAGATCTGCCTTTCTAAATCTAAGCTTAATAACTTCACGGGATGCCTGGCTGACTCAGTTGGCAGAGGGCTGGACTCTTGATTTTGGGGTCGTGAGTTTGAGCCCCATGCTGGGTGTCGTTTACCGAAAAAAAGAAAAAATTTTAGCCTACGAGTTTAAACTTTCATTAGTTGAAGGCTTAAGTTTGTTAACAGAAGTTAAACCTTAAGACTGCAGACTACGCAGGGAATAAAAATATGAAACACTTGTATACATCATAAATAGAACCACTTAAAAGGGACTTATGGCTTGACCCCTCTATTAATTTGAGACTTCTAGTTCAGTGTACTTTCTAAAAACATTGTATGTGCTTAAGACTGGTTCTTCGTTTTCCTGTATTTGCTTTAAAGTAATCTGTAGTCTAAACTCCCACATTACCAGGAGGCCGAGAATTCTCTACTAGTGAAGAGAAGATTATGCTCTTAAGTCAGCCTGTGTTCCTACCCAGTTTTGATACAAATTGCAGAGAAACGGTTATGTACTTAGTCCTGTCCACCCCCTCCCCCCACAAGACATGTAACCTTTGGAAAACGTCTCCCTGAGCCTTTTTTCATTTGTGACCAAATGGTTAAGTGACAATTAAAGAACAGGTTTTGGAGATCTGGCCACATGAGGTTGAGAACAAGGAATGTAACGGGCCTGGCAGGAGCACCCCCCGCCCCACGCCCCCTCCAAATCAGGGCATTTATCAGACCAGCGCTGGTTGCCCAGCTTCGGCCTTGCAGACGCAACCCCAGTTTTGCTGGGCGCGGGGCTGATCAATGCTGAGAGGGTCTGGCGGCAGCACCCTTGGCCTAGAGCCACGTGTTGGGCTTTAAAAGGTTCCATTTTAAAAAGCAGATGGGTAATTTCTGTTAAGGCATCTTTTTAAATAAGCAGATTTTTTTAAAAAGATGTATTCATTTTAGAGCGCGCACAGGGGGAAGGGGGCAGAGGGAGAATCTCTAGCAGTTGGCCTTGAGCAAAGAGCCAGACGCGGGGCTCCAGCTGGGAACCCTGAGATCATGACCTGAACTCAAAAAGAGACGCTTTTCACATTGTGCCACCCAGACACTGGAATAGGATTATTTTTGAACACCTTTTAAAAGCACTTTAAAGATTTTAAGAGAGCTGGGGGGGGGGGGGGCAAGCAGATTCCACACTGAGCACAGACCGTGATGTGATGCAGGGCTCCATCGCACAACCCTGTGAGGATGACCCAAGCCAGAAAATAGCGAGCCTTAGCCGACTGAGCCACCCAGGCACCCAAAACTATTTTTCTAAGCAGTATCTAAAAGCGGTTTCCTCAATCTGATAGGTTCACAGGGGAGAAAGAAAAAACAAAAATCCTTACGTTTTCCAAACTCAGATCACCGTGGCCCATCCCAGACCGGAGTCAGCATCTGAGGGGGGGCAGGGATAATGAAAACCTCGAGACTGAGAAAGATGCCGTCCTAGCTGACTCGAGCAGCACTCCCAGTATTTGGCAAGCATACTTATACTTTGTGAAGAACTGGGGTTAAGAGCATGTTGTCCAAGTGCCCCACAAATGTTTTGTTTGCAGATTCAGGGGTACCCTGGGGTCACGCTAGGGTTCTGCCATGGAAGGGAAGCCACACAAAACAGTCTGGTGTGGTGTGTGCAGCGGCCTGCCCGATAGTTCTTCTTCTCAGGACCACCCCCCCAACCCCTGTGGTGGAAGGTGGTGGTGGTCTACTAGCTTCTAAGACCTAAAACAGGCACTAATCACCACCTTGGCCCTCTAGGAAAGCAAGCTCCTCTGAAGGTGCGGGCGTTAGCCCTGGCCTGGAATGTGGGGCCCGACTGTCTGCAGAGTAGCTCACGACCCTCCCGCCTGCCAGGACTATATTCCACTTGGCTTTCGAACTTGGTTTTTTTTTGTCCTGAGTTTTTTTTTCCTAAATAAAGCAAAATACCCTAGCAGCAGAATTAAATCCCCCAGCCTCTAAGGTTTACATTGAAGAGCTTTTTACAGTTGAAGCCTGCAACACTGAGCACCTGCTGTGTCCACCAAATGACGTTAAGGCTGTGTGTCAGGGTGGGGTTTGGAGAGGAAGGGACAGAGACAGACAAAAGTTTTTTTAAAAAATGGAATAATCAAGAAAATATGTAGTTTTTGCTTTATTATGAGCCAATCACACTTGGTCTTTTCTGGCAGTGGATTGAGTCAAAGCAGCCAACAGAGAATATACAGTCGAACATCCTTCATAATTCAGCCTGTAACCGACTTGCCTTTTCTGGCTCCTTTCCCTTTACGTTACTTTCTAGGCATCCCCTCACCCTACACAATCCTCCCGTTTTAGCATAAAATCCTGCTTCATACGAAATCAAGTTTTAGGGAAGTCTCATTAAGTCTTCTAAGTCCTTACTAATGGGAATGCCACAATGAAACAAATGTGACTTAAAAAGTGTGTCCTTCCCTCCCAGAGCCCTCAAAATAGAGTACCATTTGACATTCACATTAAAACATGTGAAGGTTAAGCTGGCAGTTATCTTCTTTTTTTAATCAGGAAAATCAAGTCCATAAATCCCATGAAAACTGCGGAGAAACAATGTTAGAATCATTCATTTTAGCACTTGAAGGAATTTATCATGTAGCCCAATGCCTTTCATTACAGAAGGGTGTGCCACGGAGATTAAAAAAATACATGTAGCCTACAGGTGATCCAGTTAGTGGCCGAGCCAAAACCCAACTGTGGATTTCCAGCTTTTCCTATCACACCTACCGTCCCCTAACTGTAGTTGCCATGTCTACCAACAAAGACTCAAATACAGTCAAGTGCGGTTTCTTACCACAGTTAAGGAAACAAGAGGAGAGCTACTGCACACACATTTTTAATACCAATAAAATGTGAAGTTCTTGAATTTAAAACTTTACTAACTTTACTATTATCAGCAAACCTGGTTAGAATATTCCTACTTATCCCATTTTGTGTCCCCCAAACTGGAAGAACTGTGGTGCTCCTTCCAGGGATGGCCAGATTCCCAGATCGTTTCATGGATGTTTAAAGACCTCATAAAATAGCATATGCTGTTACCCCCAGACCAGTCAATTAGTAAATTTTGTAATATTAACACCAAATTTAATTGGTTTAGGTTTACGCTGCCCTGCTGTTATGGGGTTTTCTGGTCAGATTCTCAAGGTTTCCCACTTAAAATTCAGATTGTAGGCCAAAAGCCTGATGACCAATGATGGTAAACCAAGATTCATGGTTATCACCTAGCACATACTCTGATCTTTGCCAAACCAGTGAAATATTTACTTGTTCAATCCAGGTTCTCTTCTGTTTTATCCTAGCCCTTTAAGCTCCTAGGAATTTTAGATGTTGAGAACATTCCCTGTGCTCGGGACTCGGTATTGTATGGTTCATTAGGATCTGTTGTGGCTGGCCTTGGACATTTTTTATTAACTAGTGAGTATCTTTTTCTTAATGTATGATGAACATTTTCTAAATGGACTAATGTCAAATTTAATTATGGTGGTTATGGTTTTTGACAGGTAGGATTAGAAGATCATGTGATGTTGGAGTAGGAGGATTTATCTTGGTGACTTTAGGATGCTGGTATGTGTACCAAGTAATTCAAGAAGATCCAGGATCATGATTGATCTATTTCAAGCACATGCTCTTTCCAAGCAATCTGTCACTGGAAGACTCCCACCCCCTCAGCGAGGAATGTTTTTTTTTTTTTTAATTTAATGGAAACTTGCCTTACAAAATGGTACTGCTGGGATGCCTCTTTTAAGTATGTATATGCAGACACATTGTACATACCATTTGTCAAATGAGCAGATGAATGCGTGACATTCCACCAATACCAAGTTACAATTTCTAATCTGGGAAGGCCTCAACCTTTCAGGTCACCCCGATGCTCTCATTTCCTGCTCATGACATTACATCTGTAAAGCCTCCTTTAAGAATGTGCTCACAACTGATGAACACGTGCATGAATTTCCTGTGTTCTGAGCAAAAAAAGCCAGAGCCAAGAGTACGTAGTACATATATGGTTCCAACTGGAGGAGATTCTACCAGAAAAACTAAGCTGGATGGGGTCAGAAGCCTCGCTTTAGGTAAAACTTATCTTAATGATTTGTTAATGACAGTGAACCACTCCAGAACAGCCCTCCAAATTAGAACGACTGTATTAATACAGTCTTGGGGTAACCATCTGTAATCTTAGATTTTGTTACTACAAATCTCAAAATGGTTTCTAGAGTAACTTTTCTGTTAAAAATGACTCAGTTGTGTTTTCTTGTAAGGTTCCATTGTAGGTATAATTACGCAAAGCTAAGAATCCAGGAAAGAATTGCCAGAGATGGAATTAAAAATCAGATTCTCTACGAAAGTACCCACCTTGATCCTCAAAGAAAACAAAGCAAGAGCGGCAGCTGAGCAGGGTCTCAAGCATTGAAAACCCAACGGTGGCTGCAGGGGTCGGTGCAAATCACATGGAGGGCAGCCAATCACCCTCTTGTGTGCGTGTCCCACCAGACTTTCAGTCACATAAAATAAAAGATGTGTGTGTTGTAGTTTTCTTTTTTTTTTTTTTTTTTTTTTAAAAAAAACGCTTGTAGGAAGGCCCACACACTTGCTCTGGCCCTCGCTCTACTGCCAGGAAAGCATCTTTTGGACTTGCTGAACTTGGTGCAGAGACCAGAGTATAAACAAGACTCTCCTGCTGGATTTCCAAACTCCTCTTAGAAACAAATCACTGTACTACTGCACCTTGTTAAAAATGAGGCAGTACTTCCCGGTTTCTAAAGTCAATACCTCTGTAAGAACACTTCTGGGTTTTTTTTGACTTTGCAAATTGCTATTTTTAAAAATGAACACTCACTGCTTGACCCTATTCTTCCATTTCTTAGAACAGGTAGGTCATCTCCCCAAAAGTAAAGATAAAGGTAGTTTTTAAACGCTCTAAATGTTTCTGGATGTATGCAGTGTTTTGGAATTTAAATAGACACATGGCACGCACAGTATTTTCAGAACTAGTCTGATGCAAAACCACCACAGGATCACACACACATCATTACACTAATAGGTCATTTAGAATTCAATCCGCTATTAAAAAAGGGCAAAAAACAAGGCACCCAACCAGGTCCACAGCATTTATTCATTCAGGAAAAAAACTCCCTCTCCAAAGCAATGCAATTTGTTTTAATGTCAACGTTACTTTAAGAGAATCTTTTAAATAGAACACAAAACACAAGCTAGAGGTGTTCCTGGTTAAGAAATGATAATGAAAAAGACCAGCAGACAAGGACTCTGGCATCATTAATGATCCTATTACTTGGTTATCCCAGTAAGCCAGAGAAGGTGAAGCTATCCTGAGATTTTACCTTGTTCTCTCACCGCTTTTCAAGGGGGAAGTGGGGAGTGCGTGCTCGGTCCGGGTCACAGGAAGGGGCATCGTCCCTCCTGCGCCCACTTTTCCTGGGGTCCTTCCGAGGGGCAGCGCACGCAGGCTATGCGGTTTACCAAATGCCACTGTCAAGCACAAGCCCGCAGATACTTGTACTGATCCTAATCCTCTAGCAGCCACCAAAGGTAGGACTTGGACACTAATTAGGGAAGGCTGTTGTTAGAAAGGAAAAGGCAGTTTCCAAGATCGTACCACCTGTCCACTCTACGGGCACAAGTCAGAGTTGAATCCAATCTGCGTTACTCCAACTGACCAGTCACTCCCATTTTAGGAGGCAGCGCCGCCGTATGGGAGTACAGGGACCCCTGACAAGTACTCCTCAGCCCCGATCTTTAACGTTTGTGCAGGACACTTACAATCTCCACTTCCGCTTACAAACGCATGCAGAGTATAGAACTGGGCGACCAGATGGATTCTTAACTAAATCCCCACCTAGCTCTCCCATACGAGGGTTACAGCTTACCCTGAGTAAGAGAAACCTCTCTCGGCCGGCAAAATTTCCAAGGCCTTCACCAGTAACAAGGTTAGTTCACTTTGACAGCAGAAGGACTGCGTCAACTGGAGACCTGGATAAAACAAAGTGGTGACACACTTACTTGGGTAACTCATAAAATATCACTTAGTAAGTACACATGGTTATTAATACCTATTTCGTTCCCCAACTATTAAGAGATTACAAAATACGCTAACAGATTACTGGGCTACACAACGCACTCCAGGTCCCTATGCCGTCGCTACTGGATACCGCGGACAAGGCCTCCAGACAGCCCTCACACTCCCACTTCTGGTCTCCAAGCCCTATCTACCTGCCCTCTGCCACCCAACTCCAAGCTCAAACTATGTGAACTCTGTGCCCATCCCCTCTGCTGGGCACCCCCCAGCCTCTGCTCCAACTTTTCCATTCCACTTAACGCCTTCTTACAGCAGCTTCTCCCAGTCCCTTCTTCTCACTAACCTCTGGGAAGGAGAATCACATTTAGGCTCTCCTACTACTAGCTACCACTTTCACTGGTCACTTGGGCTCCAAGCAAAGCTTCAGTGTCTCATGGAGAACCCTCCTTTGTGTCTGGCGTGAAACCATCCACGCGTCTGCGGGATCATATCACTAAACGTTCACTCGCCCAGAGACAGAGTCCAGGCTCCGCTCTCATCCAGACGCGCCTTCCATGCCCCAGACTGACAAGCGACCTACCTCTCGTGCCCACTCGGAAGCCTCCGGCTGCACGGCTTCTTTCATTGTTCCGTTAACTCCAGAACTTCACACTAGGTGATATAGCAGTAGATACCAGCTAAATAGCTGATTAAAATAGAATTGTGGTCATTAGTAGTTTTAGAAACTTCTCCCAGCTTTATCTATTATCTATCATACTTGGTTAAATCTTTCTAGTGCTCTAAGCATTTCCCCCTTCCCTCAACCCCTCCCTTCTTTTCCTTGACTATTTGGCTTTTCCATCACAGTAAAAGGACCTCAGGGAATTTAAAATTAACTAGAAGCTTTTCTCTGGACTTGTGATTTATAATGACTGAGTTCGGCAACAAAAAATTTTAACTATTCCTAACACCATTATTTGATTCGCAAGCATCTTTTTAGTCTACGTACCTCTACTCCATCGCTGGTTTCCCTTTGCTTCGATTATATAATGCGAGGAGGTCTATATAATAAATTCAGGATTCCTGTTTATGCACTTTTCAGCAAAGAGCTAGGGATCAAATAGGGTTTGAATCCTTCTATTCCTAGATAAAAATCTGTAGTGATGGGGGTCAAGGCACCCCTTTAAAATTCATGTTAATATATGTACTTTACTTGGGTAAACAGAAAATCTGAAGTAGAAAAATTAAAAATTGCTCGTATTCTGACTTTTAATGGTCCTCTGGAATATTTTTTGGAAGCATCTTAAAATAGGGTCCAGTGGTCATTCAATCAGGACAATATACCAATATCCTCCACCACCCGAGTCCTGGCATCTTACGCAGCTGATTTTATGCAATAAGCTCCATCTTTTTCTCTTAAAATAGGAAGCTTTGGGGGCAAAAACTTATTACCAAGATCTTAAAAGTTTTACATTTTGAAGCTGTTGTAACGCGAACACTACAGGCGTCACAAGTAGTTTTCAACAACTCCATCTGCCTTACTCATTTTCTATAAGAGATGATCCCCCCCAGCCCCCGCCCACCAAGTCCTTCTATCTTGACAAAACTACCAGTGACATTATAAGCAGGTACAAAATTTAGAAAGGCTTCTACTGTTCCCTTTTTAAGTTTAGATCAAGTTAACAAAAATCTGTTCAACCACCTTACATGGTCTACCCCTCAGGAAATCAAAATAATCTGTAACCCTGGTTTCTTAATGGATCGGTTTCCATAGAAACGTTTCTTCCCTTTAGACCATGAGGACAAGTCATCCGCAATGAACTCTATGCTTTGCCATCTGAATTCAAAGCTTCTGAAACAAATGTTCTAGTTAAAAAAAAATTTCTCCCCCCTCAAATGAACAAAATGTTAGGATTTTTACCTTTTGGCTCTGAAACCGAGCTGTCTGCTCTTTCAGCCATTAGATTTTTAGTTGACACAGTAGAACTGAGTTTCAGTGAGCAACTCCTGACAGCTACATTTCAAATCAGTATAGCAGCCGGGTCCTCTCATTTCACCAAGATACATTATTCTGGAGTATGTGGTGGAAGAACAATAGATTTCCTCTAAGCTTCTTAGCAAGTCTTAAATGACTTCTTGGGCAATGAGAAATTATTTGCTCTGGAGACACCGAGCTTTTTTATTCCTTCTGTCTTTATAATTTAAATTTACTTCCTATAGTTGATTTTTCCACTTTGACATGGAGCACTATGTCCTCATTCTCCAAAAGGCTCTAGTTTCTAAATGTTTATAAGCTAGTAAAGAGTATTTGTGCGTTTTGCATAGATGCAGAAGGTTGGGAAAAAGCAAAGGACATCTTAGACTCATTTTTCTGCATTAAAGTATTTTAAGTATTTAAGCTCTGCGAGTGAGAAGTATTAAAATGAATGTCTTACAAAAAATTAAAACAGAAGGAATCTGAATGGTTAGAACCTTACAAGGATTTGGCTCCATTTGCAGTCTTAAACCTAGGTGAGAGGACCGCCAACTGCTTACCACCACTGACTAGCTCACATCTCAGGTATGCAAAGGGTAAAGTGAGAAAACCTTTTTTCCCCCGTTTATACAATCTACCCAATCTGGGTTAACAGTTATTTCCTTTTCCCATCCTTTTACATAAGGGAGTTCTAATGAAGGTGATCCTGGAAGCCCAATGTAACAAGTGTTAAATGTACAAGCAGCAATTAATTTGGAATACCTATTAGAATCACTGGAACACATTTAGTTGGGCCCTTTTACTCTTCCACACAGCACATTCACATGGACAGACTAAGGAAAAGGAGATGAAATTTAAATCAGCATTTTTTTTTTTTTTTTTTGCTTTATTACCTTAAAAAAATATATGTTAAGTTGGAACCTTTTATTGTACTTGACCATGATGCTCCCACTCCCGTTCACTACAGACAACTGCAACGTAAGGAGACCTTCTGGTCACAGCTACCTGTTACCTGCTGTTCAAGTAAACCCCAACCATTCTTCGGAAGGATGGCTTTTACCTCACCTTCTCTTGGCATGCCCTAATTCTTCACAGCTTTTACATCACAGGTTAGCGGACTATACTGGCCATCTCACTGTTCTTGGCTTTTGTTTCTTAATCTTTTCGCTGATGCTCATTAGTGAATATGCTTCTCAAGCGCTTGCCAAGTGCACAATACTTTACCGTCCCAAGCGGACCTGACTTCCTCTGAGATCACGGACTCAAGAGCAATGGCAGGAAGCTCCATGTCCATGAGGCAGACCGCGCGAGCTCTCCAGCCCCTAATCCCCACAGCACCACAGGCCGCGCCGCGGTCACTAACGGTGCAGCAGAGGAGGAAGTCAACTTTCCTGTGAAGACCTTTCTCTATCTGCCTGGACGGTTATTACCTAAACACTTTCGACTACAGCATATTGTTTCTCATACCCACAGATCCAGCTTTGTTTAAAAGCAAAACCCTGTTCTTGTCAAGATGCAAGGATGTGTTGGATGCTGGCATGAGAAGGGAAAAAACTGTAATCTTCCTGGCAATAATCAAGTAAATACAAATTTAAGCACATTGTTAAGCTCTTGTCCCAATAACCTACCTAACCAGTGGTTCCTGATGTGCTGGCTTAGCAGTCTGTCTGTTCCCTTACAAATACTCATCTGCAATCACAACGAAATTCCCCAGTTACCTACGTCATTACCAAATACCTGTCCTTACTCCGCTTTCCATACTGACAGCACATCCCCAATGTAACCTCACAATTCACGCAGGTGTCACATTTTAAAAATAAGTCTATAAAAAATAAAATTAAAAAAAAAAACACAGATGCTAATAGTTACCAAAAGGCAAAATAAATAAATAAATAAATAAATAAAAAATAAAAATAAAAATAAGTCTAGGTTAATGTTACAAACATAGTATCTTACAATCTACTCAGCCTTACAGACTAAATTTAGGTCCTTAGGCAATCTAATTAAATATATCCAATCACCTAGATTTTTAGTCAATTGGGTAGGTCGGACAGTATAGCCTTACTCTAAGTGCAAACTGTTAGCCATTTCCCACCAACCTAAAGCCCTCTCACTTTGGGGGCTCCAGCCACCCCCCAAATCAAAGTGTGACCATCAAATAAAGTACCATGTTTTTAGCAAAACACAGTAAAAATGAACTATGAAGGTAGGTTATTTCAACTACTTGATTTCACGTACACATAAATTTAAACTTTGGAATGTTAAGATGCTTGCGGATCCTGGGTTTTCTCTTTGTCCTACCCCACACACTCAAAAGAGATACATACTGTATCCATCAGCACACTTTTAGGTCGCTTCCAAAATAATTCTGAAGGGTTTATTTCAATATCAAGGTTAGTAAAGATTAGTAAAACAAAGGTTAGCTACACAAAGGATGTTTAGTATTTGTCTTAACACGGTACCTGTAAGCACTGGCAACTAGGTATTAAAAACAAAACAAAACAAAACAAAAATGAGCATTAGAGCAACCAAAATAAAAACTCAACCACTCAACTGGTGAGATCTACCACCTGCATGTTTTAGCGGAGAAGCTGAACATAATAGGGCCAAGGAGGACATTCAAATCTAAATATTATCCAAGTTACCAGAAGGGTACTCTAGTTTTAAGTGAGTTTAGGCCACTAACTGCATGAAGAGACCGGTTTCCACTAATAAATTCATACTGTTTTGGGAGCTAATGCAGGTGATTCTTACTCAAAGTACTAACTTAATATCCTTTAACGCTTGTATTAACGACTGCAACCTATTGCCAAGGTCGGAACACCACATATCCTTACTAAAAATGCTAAAACTGAAACCGAGTTTCTCTCAGAGCCTCAGAAATGGGAACGACAAAGTTTCGATTCAAACCATTTAAAAAATCTTAGGAGAAAATGGCTTTAGAAAAAAATACCGTTCTACAGTATTTTTACAGTATTTTGTAGCAATTCTACAAATATTTCTACAGTATTTCACGGACTATTCTGGGGTGTGGGAGCAGAGAATCATTCTCTCCTACAGGTTCCACCCTCTTTTTTTTTTTTAAATGTCTTATAGTTACATGTATGGCGGGAATTACGGAAATAAACTTTTTAAGATCCACATTTATGTCTAAATATCAGAAACCAAGACTTGGGCTATGAAAGATAGGATTATGCCTTCTTCAACAGAAGCGGCTTCTGGTTTCGGCTTTTTCAAGTATCAGATATGCTCCCATTGAACTGTATCATCAGGTCTTTGTATGTGACAAGTCTATACCACTGCCTAAAAAGCTATGAAAATACTTCATTTTTATTTGTGCAATGGGACGTATAAAATGATCCTAGGATAAAAAGCCAATTTATGTCAACCTTATAGAAAAACAAGTTGTTCAACTCACACAACTGATGTAAACATCAAATACAGAACATAATCTGTCCATGAATGTAACCTCTCTCCAGAAAGTGAAAAATACTTTTCCTAGAAAAATTTTAAGCACTTTTTCGAATAAAATGGGTCTTTTAAGAAGCTTCAACACCTCGTTAGTGCTCGGGACCCTCTAGTTTCAATGTCCTTATTGTCAGACAGGACCTATCCTAGGCCAATGTGAGCTGCTTGTTTCGTGGATTTTATAGGACTTCCTTTTGTCATTTCAATGTCAGACTGACTTGACTCGGGCTTCATTCTAAGATTTCATCTTCCTGTGATAGATATCCGGTATCAGGGCCAGAGGTTAGTGCTGGCCTCCTAGGTCCAAGCCAGAGCCCTCTGTCAGAGGCCAGACAGGAGTGAGCAAGATGTAAACAACCAGCAACCAATGAAACGTTCTATGGGACAGCATCAGTTACTCCCATTTCTACCTTGCAGTGCTTTCTGCCTTCTTTCCTGACTTACCTATTCGTGCTGTTTTGACACAACTGTAGGTGACCAATCTGATCCAACACCTAACTCCGGATGATCTGTCCAACTCCCTGCAGAACTTTCTAGGGAAAGCACCACTTAAAGCAACAGCCACCTCACGGGAGAGTTGGGACCCCTGTTCAGAACTATGCCTTTAGTTTACTCGGTGTTTTGCTTGCCACAGAGAGGTAGGCAAGAGGAGGGTCAAAGACTAAACCCAGTTTCTCACTGGCAGATGTTCAGTTGGCCAAACGGCAGTCTTCAATTTTCTCCCTCTTGCTTGCGACCTGCTACACTCTGATCTTCTGAGTTTCTTAAACACTAAGATTCTTTCTTTCCATACATATTAATTGTAAACTTGAGGCTGCACGCTCGCTTCGGCAGCACACATACTGAACTGGAGGCTGCTTCTGGAAACTAATTCTCCTGGACAGTACCTGTTATCTATTGCACCTTTCTTCCCAAAATTTTCTGGGCTACACAAGGCATGACAGTCTACCAAAGTGTTACTTGGCCATTACTCTCCCACTGAGATGATTAGAATATGAATTGCTTACAAGCTAGAAGATAGATCCACGATTCTTCAAAGGTACCTAAAACACTGATTAGCAACAAAGGTTGAACTTTTTCCCCTGGGTAGGTCTATGCAATCCTAGCAATTATAATGTATACTGCAAAACAGTTCATGCCAGTGGTTGCTACCAGTAAGCTAACTGCTAAGAAAACAAACCCCTCGAGACACTACCTTGTACCTTGCGGTAATTACAGGATTAGCCTTTGTTCCAAAATTTATCAACTAAACCTACAGCACCATCTAAAACTCAACTCCAGCTCGGCTTGTAGCAAAATTCCTAGGAGTTATGAATAAGTTTAAGATCTGATTTAAAATGGCTAAAACAAAAATCTTAAGCAAACAAAAAGACAAACCTAAACTTACCAGAACCTAAAACACCAACAAAACACTAGACTGTAGTCAAGTTTTAGTTCTACAGTTTGACTCCTGATTGATTCCTCACTTCACATCAGTGAGGGTCCTTTAAGAAGATTAAGTGTTCTGTGCAAACCCAATAGAATTACGATTAGGGGATCTAATGTCGTCACATAGCTACGGTTAAGTTAGCAGTGTTGTGTAGTAGTGAAATCAATGACTGGCTCACATGATGGCTTCTAAAAGCATCGGTTCCCAGAGTTTCATGTATTAGATACGTGCGTATAAGATATTCGGTTGAGGACAGCCATTAGCATTTGGTAAAGATGGTAAATGGAGTGTTAACTTCTCCCAGCCAGTACACCATTTCCCCTCATTAAAATGTTAAGTCATCTGGGGGGGAGGGGAAGGAAGAATTCAACTTTACTTCATAATTCAAAGTCAATTATCAGTATACATTTAAGTTTTTAAAACCTAAATGTTCCAAGTACAGAGTAAAGAATAAGCTGTCCAGAAAGCACACACTTAAATTTTCTCCTCTTGGGAGTTTTATAAAGGGATTTTGAACCTTGATGGCGAGAATCCCAAAACGAGAGTAAAATGAATTCTTTTTATTGCAAACAAACGTCTAAATTAATTTCTCCACCCACTTTCTTTAGAAAGAAAAAGAAATCAGCAGGCTAAGGAGATACCCATTCAAGAACTGACATGATTAAAAATTAAGATATAAATGGGTGACTCACAATGTCATTAGCTTACAAAGATGGTGGAGTAACTACTACAAGCACACTAGTTATACAGTATTTTGTGGGAGAAGGGCATACAGACATAGCTAACTTCATATAGATCCCATTAGACAACTGGATTTACAACAAGTTTTTTTAATAAGAAATGGGCAAAGCCAGCTTTCTTTTCAGAATCAAAATGCAGAACAAATGGAAAAAGTATGGTATTGAACCTTCACAAGTTTGAGCCTCCACAAATAATGCAACCAAGTTTTACATTTTTAACAGCCCTTCTACATACACTCCATCTTCTCTATCTTGGTTCCAATTTTTATCTTCATTCCCAATTATGCCAATTCCATTGTTATTTAAAAAAAGAAAAAAAGCCTTCCCAGTTATTGTCAGAAACTACTATTGAAGCTTTCCCCCTCCACTACTCAGCGAACTACAGAGAGGATGGAGTGTACTATGAGCAGTACAGAGTCTTATGCAATTCATGAGGACGCCTTAGTCCTTACATGAATCTGGTTGCTAACATTTCTATTATATTGTGACAATGACTCCCGACTGTTATCTCTGTGAGAAATGGGGGGAGTAAATTCTTAATAAAAGACACCAGGTACAAAGCAACATTTTACTTTTGTTGTGATAAAAAAAAAAGTCACATTTTACAGATAAAATGTAGAACCCTGAAATACTGACACATTCTCTTATCGTGCACAATGCTGAGGTTCTCTTACGATTCACTTTAAAACTGCAATTAAAAATGTACAAAAAAGAAAAGAAAAAAAATCAACCCACAAAGCTTCTAAAAAAGGAACCCGCAGGCACTTCCTCTTGTGGAATGTTTAAAAAGTTAGCCTACTAAAGAAAACAGTCGACTTCTTGTGAAGGTTTTGGAGAAATATGTATCAGTTCGTTTTATTTGGGTATTCAATAATATCCTTGGTGATAATGCTGACTCCATGGCTTCTGACCCCAGAATTGCTGTAAGAGAAAATTTTTTTTTTAAAGAAAAAAACATCAATAAGCCACTCAAACTGCTTTTAGGAAATGACAATCTAATTCAGAGTAACTGCTGGAAACAAATTTACACCTGTCATATACCTCTGACTTCTACCAAACCAGATTTAGTTAGTATTAATATCCCATTATTATCAATAAACACGTTACAAAAAGAAACACATCATGACTTGGTTAGTTTATACCATTAAAGCTAGCAATAAAAAGAACCATCTGTATTAAAGAATATTTTATTATAACATTAAATTACAGCAAACTCCACCTATATTCACACCTTGCCCTGCAACACTCCAATCCCTGGACAAGTTTATCAAGACTGACTCTTTATGAACTTAAAGTGCAATTAATGTCCATAGCACATAAGAGATTACTTACACCCTGCTGCCACTGGTTGTAGCCCTGAGATTGATTTTTGTAGCCACGATTGTTTCCTCGTCCTCTGAAGTTCTGCGGGGGGGGGGGGGGGGTGAGAGAAAAAGACAACTTTAAGAACTCCGAGCACAGCCTGTTAGTTCTGTACCTGGGGGAGGCAGCAGCACAGAAAGGATCGGCTGCTAGCAATGAGGAAGCGCCGGGAACCCTCTGCTGCTGCTCTCGGGTGTAGAATTTATTCAGCTAAGGCATCAACCTGACTCAAATCTAGTTCACCTGAAAATCAAAATTCAGCGGGCCTCATCTTCCTTCACTAGTCTAACACCACTGCAGACAGACACACAAGCTGTGCGGCTCCCGACTCTGACTGAGGCTTGTGACGCAAACCTACAGCCTTCCAGACTAGATCCTGCCGCCCATCAGTGCCTGGAAAGCTTGGAACCGTTACCTGGTTGTAGTTCCCTCTGTTGGGCATTCCACCTCTGTTGTAGTTCCCTCTGTTGGAATAACCGCCTCGGCTGGGAAACACGGGGCCACGCGGGTACGGATAGCCAATCCCGCCACTGCCGCCGCCGCCGCCGCCTCTCTGCGGCATGTTGCCCCTCCTGTTATAGCCACCGCGGTTCCCAGGAGCTACAAACGAGAGATGCTTCGTTTAACAGCACGTTCTGCCTCCTTTGCACACAGAACTAACTACAGGAACCTCCAGACCAGTCCTTTATCGTAGGAGAAAAGTCACTTTTGAAGGTATTAATTTAACCACTCATGTAACCGACCTGTTGATCAAGTCACAAGATTTTAAACCAGCTCCTCGGATCAACCCGAGTTCGACGTCAGAGGTCAAACTCCACCAAACCACACCCCCCCAAACTGCGAGATTCTCATCCCTTGTTTCCGCCTCGAAGCGAACGAGGCCCGCGCTCCCAGTGAACTTGCCTCCTCCTCGGAAGTTGCCACCACGCATGTTGAAGCCGCCGCGGCCTCTGTGGCCGCCGCCTCTGTTGAACTGGTTCTTGCCGCTCTTATTTTTATTGCTCTTCTTCGAGCCAGTGTTTTGTTTCTTTTCTGGTGGAAGAGCCTTTTTGCTTTCTTCCTTATACTGCTCCAGAAGTTTCTGGGCTTCCTCCTTCTGCAGTTCAACATAGGTTATTTCATCAAAGCACTCAGCCACCTCGGGCAGCGTAAAGTTTCCTACAAGGAATAAGGTCAGATGAGCTTAAAACCTCCACAACCCTGAAGCCCAAATTCAAGTGGCTTTTGTTCTCTGCAAGACACTACGTGTCTATTCCTGGTTTATAAACGTTGTTTTCCTAGAAACAGAAATAAACCAAACGTTCATTTACATGGAACGAACATGTGACTCGTAAAACAGTATTGCTGGCAGGAGACCTCACTCAAATTTACAAACACAAATCACGCAAGATTAACACGGTAATAGATTCAAATTCCGTACCTTTCATTTTGAGGACTGCGTGTTCTGGTAGGTCTTTTCCCTCGACTTCTGCTTTCTTCTGTGTTCTCTGCTTATAGTCTTCATCTTTCGGGCAAACTACAACAGCTTTTCGTTGGAAGCCTGCGAACAGGCACATTTTTCTCCTCTGGGCAGCAGCAGACACATTGGTCTTGAAAGCAAAGTTCATAAAGCCGGAGATTAGCTCCACACCAAACCCAACAATCCATTCCTTTTTTCAACCTCAAAACTACTGCTCACCTGATCCAGAATGAAATTTCGCTTCTTCCGGGCAGCAATCTCAATAAACTTTCCAAGACACTGGGGAGCTCTCTGTAACAGAGTGTTCAGTTTTCCTGTATCCGCCATCTGCTTCTTAAACCCCGCCACCTGTTTCGAAAGTTAAAAAGTTCCTTTGAACTTGTGAATGAAGCTTATTTTTTCTAGTATCAGCTTAGATCTATGTGGAAACCAGACATTTGCTAATTTAAATACTGCCTTTCCTCATCATTATGAAAAGAGTCACTTTACCATGTAACAAGATCCTCTGCTGTTCACTTCTTTTTTAGCTACTAAATGTTGACAGTTCAAGAAATTTTATAGGAAAAAAAAACAGTAAAACCTAGCCACTGGGAGGCATTTTACCTTACACATAAAAGTAACTTACGTCTTCTACTTCAATCAATCTTAACTCTTGACAAATTCCTACCTCTAGAACACTAACAAAATGCATAAAAACATCAGACAAAAAAGTTAGAATACCTTCTGGTCTTTTTAAAATGCTGAGATCACACCCTAAATATTTTTACTTACCATCATTTTATCCATTATGGTGTTTGTTCCAAGAATGTTGTATTTACCAGGGTTTTCTGCTGCATGTTTAGTAACCCAGGTGGTTTTCCCAGCTCCTGGCAAGCCAATCATCATAACAACCTACAGCAGAAAGAAATGGCATTTCACTTATCACTATAGCCATCTAAGAATCCCTTATACATATTTTTTAAATGCACAAGAACCCAGTTTAGATATATAAATTTTCATTGCCCTAAAAACAAAGGCAATTTTTAGAAACGCAACGCTCTACATAAAAGAACACAGCTATACTAAGAGACAAATCACTGGCTGATGGCAACTGGCATGCCAGAATGAAACAGCAATCATTCAGATCTTCCAAATGTCATTTTTGCTGAACAAAAATAATCTTCAAATGCTTAAGGAAAAAAAAAATCCAACTTACCTCACAATCTTTCTTCTCTTCAGGCCCCTTTGGTCCTCTAACTCGATCCTCCAAGGGGACATTCTGGATAAAAGTATAATCTTCCGGTATCGGCAAATATGGCTTTTCCTTCTGACCAAAATTAAATTCAACTGCACAGTTGTGGCAGAGAACATGTGGAAAAAGTGGCCTTCCGGCAAGAATTTCCTTACTGATTTTGAAGGCAACGCCAAGATCTTGCCCATTCTTTGCATAGGAGAGTTCTACTTCATCACTTTCAAAGTTCTGTTAAATCGGAAAAAATTAATGGTTTTAATCTGCTTCTTTAAAAACTTTTTCTAAAAAATTCTTCAAAATTTGAAGAATGACGCTTATACTATGGAAAATATATTTAGGCTAAATGTTAGGAGCTTTTTAACAGTTATAAACGATGGGGCCCCAGGGTGCTCAGTGGGTTAAGCCTCTGCCTTTGGCTCAGGTCATGGTCTCAGGGTCCTGGGATTGACCCCCAAGCCCCACATCAGGCTCTCTGCTCAGTGGGGAGCCTGCTTCCCCTTCTCTCTCTGCCAACTTGTGATCTGTGTCAAATAAATAAAATCTTTAAAGAAAAGTTATAAAGAATGAAATACATGTATCTAGAAGCAGAAGCAATGCTGCCTTAGCAAACGGAGTAGATTTTCAGGTCACCTTCTCGTTAAGAAGTTCTGAGTCGGAATAGTAGTGAAGGCTAATGTTGATATACCTTTAAAAGAATTCCTAGCTAAATAACTTCTCAATTAAACACAGAAATTTAGCTGACTTACAGCAAAACATGTAATCACATCATTTTCATCAAATTTCTCTCCATAATCTTCAGTCTCACAGTTGCATGTTTTTATTCCTTTAAGAGAATACCCATAAGAAAATTCTTCTTCACCTAAGAAAATAAATTAACTTTCATGAAATTGATTGTTCAAAACAGTGACCCACATATTTTAACATTCAAGATGGAGGGAATCAAGAAAAATGGGTATATAACCAACATTCTTCCACTTACACTTTAGATGTAGAGAACTAATAAGCTGGATGGGTTATGTAACTATGTGAAGAACTGCATACCATGCAATAGTGATTTTTAACCCACTGGTCATAAAACAAGTAATCATAAAAAAAAAAACAACCCTGAAAGTCAGCGGATACCTACACTATAAGCTAGTGGTATTGTTAACGCTTAAAATACTACAAAATAGATTAAAAACAGGCAGAAGATTTAGAATGCCTGGGAATCTAACTACTGAAATCAGACCCCTAAACACGCATGAGCACATACTACTCAAATGGAAACTTTACCAAGCAACATTCCACTTGTGGTTAGTGACCAGCCAATCCGAACTTCATGTATGTCAATATCTTTTGTATATAAATGCCTTACTGGGATCTTCTCTGTAACCTGAAAATCAAATCATAAATGATTACAAGGAAGATAAACCCTTGAACCCTAGCTTGTTTCATCTGGGCAATAGGTAATTCTTCTCTGGCTACTAATACAAAGACATCCATTCTACCCCGCCATCTCTCACCTACATTTACAAGAACTTTAAAAATTGATAGAACTTAAAACTTGAAACTATAAAGGTTCAAGTCAAGTCCCTGGTTGACTTCACATTTAAAAGAACAGTTTATGTTTAGAAATTACAGATTCTCGACTCAACACCTATTAAAATATACATTCAACATGTTTGGCTCTGGAACAAAACTTGAAGCCTAACCAAAGTATTTTTAAACCCTTCGTGGGCCTTTCAAGTGCCTGATAAAAAAAGGAGCATCCTAAATAAAAACAGGCTGACTCTACAACACGAATTTCTGATGTAACAGATACGATTAACTGTTATAAAACAGGCTTTTTCAAGTCCCTCTTCTAATCCACAGAAACTTCAAAGAAGTTCCACTGACACCTAACTTCTCAGGCAAATGGAAACTCACAAAGATTCTTTTAAAAAAAAACAAAAAACCCCCACAAAACTGCATTTACCTTCATCTCAAAACAGACTTTGCCTTTTGACACACCATAAGATGCCCTTCCTCCAGCCCAAAGAAAAGCAAAACTCTCCATAGTGAGGGAAGAAGCACTGAGGCGGTCTCTTGATATTTTAAAATGTAGATCACAATTATCTGCAATTATATCAAATACCATATTATTTCTTTTGACATCCAATGTAAACACATCTGCTATATAGACAAAACCTGGTTATCGCGTTCTTGCATAATTTCCTAAAGCTGCATGGAACAGTTTCTACAAATCATGCTGCTGTTCTCATCTTCACTTTAAGCCCCACTCCCACCAACTCACTCTCACCAAATTATCAACTAAATTGTAAACTACCTACAAAACCAGAAACACCAAGGTTTAACGTGTTTTTTAAGGATATAAAATAATCAAGACAATGTGACATGGGATACATACCTGCTCTGCTCTTTACCTTGATTTAGAGGCAAGCAGTAGAGGATAGCAGGAAATCAAAGTGAAGCATGCCAGAACCAGGTAGAATTTACCAGTGCCACAAAAAAACTGAAGGGAGTCCATGACCACATACTTTAAAATACAGGAGTATGAGCTGTTGATTCTGCACTTTGTATTTTACAGGGGCTCTAGATCCTAAATCCTCCAACTTGTGAAGGCAGCAGCCTCAACCTAGCCAAGTGCAAACCTGGTTGTCTAACATTGTTACTACGTCCCTTTTCCCCAGGCTTGCTGGTTGGTCAACAACAATGGGGGATTATCCACTCCCCGGATTACCCAAATCCCCAAGAAAGGTCTTTAACCTAGCTACCTTTGGGTCAGTGGCTCATTAGCATGCACCTTCTTGGGAGTTCTCACCTCAAATTAAAAAGCTGTTTTAAGTTTTTACTGATGAAAGGAAATTAGATCTATAGTTTGGAATTCTCCTTAAATCAGCTTTGCTCTCAAATTCCTGATCACTGGTAGAATTTTCAATTAAACAATTGTGTTTGAACCCAATATAGATAGCAATAAATGAGATGATGTTCCTAGGTAATCAGCTAAAAGCCCATCTACTTGGAGAGTAGTGTTAACTTCTGGAATCACAGCTTCACTACCTTGCCAATTCCAACTTAATTTGTATTTAAGCAACCGAACTACTTAAAACTCAAATCAACTATTTTTCCATGTGCAGTTTTCTTCCTTTAAAGACTCCCTTAGCTCAACTACCTGTAAAGCATATTTAATATATTAAAAGTTAACATTTACAGCCTCACAAATCTGATTAAAAGTAATTTGTATTTGAAAACATAGGAATCTAAACTTTTAACTCCCTACATCTATGGGGCACGTTTACACCTTACCACCTACTCCTCCAGTGATTATTTCTACACTTTGTTCTATTTATCAGAGTGAAAAACTGTGAATTCTGATCAAATACTAAACCAACAAAATGTTTTTATTCAAAATCACATTTCTGACAGCCAAGGCCCATTTAGAGGTTTGCAATACTTCCTCATACTCAATTGCAACCCAATTGGGTAAAGTAGCAGTGTTTACAGCGCTGCCATTGATACCATTCGCTGCTGAAGAAAGCTAGTAGCCCAGTGATAGCCCACTGCTGCTGCCCCAGGTCTTTGGAAGAAATCAACTTATGTTAAAGCAGCAGCTACTGAACTGGAATTGAGAACAAAAGAGCAGTTATTGAAAAAGTAATATTACAATCTTTTAGAATAGGGAATATACTTGTGTGCTAATGGGAAAAGTCATTAATACATACTTAACTAGCCCGAATAGCTCACTTAATTCTACCAAAAAAATGAAATTACTTTATTGTAGGAGCCTCTAACGACAAGTTACAGGTAGTCTTACAGGTTTCCATTAATTAACTAAAACCAAAAACTGGCATTAATTTTACATTCCTACAAACGAGAACGTTCTACTCATATAAAATATACCACCAAATTGCTGAAGCCTGTAAAATTATCAATACGACACAACTGATGCTGTACTAAGTATTTAAACTACCAGAATCTGAATACAACCCATCATCATCTCCCTGCTTTTAGGTTTACGCTAAGTTTTCTGCATTTAAGTTCAGCGCCCTGCGTGAAGTACTCCGACATTTTGGACCCAAAATCGCCACATTTAGTAACTAGGGGAGGAAAGGGAAGAAACAGCTTCACTTACAAGTATCAAGACAAACCACTGTGTCATCGAAGTGCTCATCTTCTTCTTCAACAGGTGGCTGAGGAGATTTGGCTCTGAAAGACAGAATTGTCTCCTGATTCAGCTTTTCCTACCCAAGAAAGAACTGGGGCGGGTCAAACTAGATCGGCATTCTCTACCTGCTATACTTGTTCTCTTCAATGTACTCAAAATATCCACGGCCATGATCTTCTCGAGGTCTTTTCACCCCTCTTTTTTTATCTCCGCCTTTCTGCTCTGTTTTGCCGTCTCCTATAACACACAACACCCCTACCGTAAGGGGCCAAGCCGCGACACCACGGCGGGGGGGGGGGGGGATGCCCCTCCTGCCTGCGGACGCAAAAAGCCCGACTCTCGTTCTTTTTTTAAGCGTTTACAATCGACGAATCCAACGCGAATTCAAAGAACAATCAGCTTGGAACCGGCCTGCAGTTAGTGACGCAGTCCAAAGACAATCCTAATTTTGCCAGCCTACTCGAAGGTTCGAGAAAGCTCCTGGAGACTAGCGCGGCCCAGGCCCCGAGCCCACGTGTATCCCGAAGAGAGTTCAGGAAGGGGGGAGGGGCCGGCCCGGCCCGCGCGCCCTCCCCGCCCCTCCCCCACCCGGGCCCGCGTTCCCCGCGGCCGCATTGTACTGATCTTCCGCCCCGCTCTCCCCGCCCGGCCCCTCCCGCCGGAAGTGACGTCACGCCGAGCCCCTGCGCTCCTTGCACAATACCGCGGCCCAGCACCGCTAAAGCGCGCCCGCCCCGGGCCCTCGGGCCTCTCCCCTCCCCCCGCGAGACATGTGCCCGCACCGCGCGCACGCAGCGCGGCGGCGCCACCGCGAGCCGACGGGGCTCCCGCCCGCCGCCCGCGGCTCCTCCCCCCCCCGCGGCAGCTGCCGCCCCCCCCCCCCCCCACACCGCCGGCTCTCCAGCCACATAATGGAGGCGCCGCCGCCGCCGCCGCCGCACACGCCGAGCCCGAGGCCGCGCAGGCCTCGAGGCCCGGCGGGATTCCCCGCGCCCCCTCCCCCCCCCCACGTCTCCCCCGCGGCGGCCCCCGCCCGGGGCTCCCTCCCCCCGGCGGGGCTCCGGCAGGCCTGGGGCACGGTCCCCACCCCGCGCGGGCCTCCCGCCGCGCGCAACGTACAACGCAGCACTCACCCGCCGCCGGAGCCCCGGGGCGACCGCCGCCTCCGCCGCCTTCCGCCTTCTTCTTACCTCCCGCCTGCTGCTGGCCCTGCCTCGCCCCGGGCGGCGCCACCGTCACCGCGAATAGCGAGGTGGGGCCGCTGCTCTTCCCCGCGGCCTCCTTGGCGGCCCCGCGCTGCTGTGGGGGCTGTTGCTGCGGCGTCGCCGGCGGTTGAGGCTGCTGCTCCCCGTGCCCGTTCTCGTCGCCCGCGCCTTCCTCCTCGTCGCCGAGCTCATCCTCCCCTTCCTGGAAGCCCTGATCGTCGCCGTTCTCGTCCTCCGAGGCGGCCTCCTCCTCCTCCATCGGGCCCGCGTCGGCCGCCCCCGCGGCCCCGTTCTCCTCCCCTAGCTCCATCTGGTCGCCATCCAGGGCGGCGATCCCTTCCTCCTCCTCTTCCTCCTCCTCCTCCTCCTCGTCGCCGCCGGCCGCGGCCTCCTGCTCGAGGCCTGCTCCCGAGCGCCCGGCGGAATCCCCGCCCAGGTCTAGGCTGCCGTTCCCGGGCTCCATGGCGGGGCGGCCCCCGGCCTCCTCGTCGTCCAGCGCGGCCTGGAGTCGCTCCATGAGCTCGGCCTTGAGGCCCTTGTCGGAAAGGCGCCGCTTCTTGAGCTCCTCTTTCAGCTCCGAGACCTTCAGCTTTTTTACATTAACAGGCGAGGAACTCATGGTGAGGGCCCCGATTCACCGCTGGGCGCTGGTTCAAACTCGGCTCCGCTCACTCGGCCACCGGTGGCGGCTGCTGCGGCTGCTCCTCGGCCCGGGCGGCGGCTGCGGCTGCGGCTGGAGGTGGGTTCGTGCTGCAGAGCGGACCCGCCTGGTGTCGAACGGCGCCAATTCCTTTCACCGAGTTCGCGAGGGAGACGCGGAGACTCGCCTGGCGCGAGCGAGCACGCAACGTCCTCTCGCCGGGGCGGCGCCGCGCACGTAATATAGCCGCCCCGCCCCCTGCGCTGACGGGAGCGCTGCGCAGGAGGAAAGCCGGAGCGCGCCCGCGCCCCGCCCCGCCCATTACCGTACTTCCCTCCCCGCCCCCACGCCGAACCCGCCGAGAGCGCGGCGCAGGCCGCGCAGTGCGCTTCCGATTGGGACCGAGCAAATGGAGGAGAAGGAAACCGCCTTTCAGTTAAACCGATGCACTGCAGCCTCTGTTGGCTTCCCTAGTAGTCTGGGCAGCCCTCGGCTTGCTCTTTGCCTCTCCACCCGGAGGCCGGGTTCACCCCCGAGGCGTGCAGGCCTCGACTCGGCATGTTCCACGCGAGCCTTCCACCTTTTCTTCCATCTTAGATTTGCCTTCTTATCTCTCTCTCCAGCTATTTGCTTAAAAACTCCTTGAAATCTTACTTCCGTGTTGATTTGTGTAGCGCAAATTGGCAGTTACTGTACGCGGGGGGGGGTTGTTCTTCCGCTTCATATTTGGTTTAATTTTCCGAAGTCCTGCCTCGCGTCCTGGATTTTTTAAGTTCAGGAAGGGCGAGGGCAGAGCATCTCTTTTGTCTCTTCCCCCACCCCTGATGCAGGGCTGGGTTGGGGAGCGTGATCCTCTCTACTCCCTGCTGCAAAGGCGTGCTGGACGAGCCTCCTCGGGGCCGCTGCTCTCATGCTGCTGAGAGCCAAAAAGTTAAAAGAAGCCTCAGAATGGCATTTCTGAGTTTTCCCTACCTACCCAGACAGACAGACCTCTGCAAGATTAATTCCGTCCAACTTAGGACATGGACGTCCACACCAGCAGAGACCCAGTCAGATCATACATTCTGTTTCTGCTCCTAATCCCGTAGAAATACTCCTGAGTAAATAATGCTGAAACTAGTAAAAGCTCATGACAAAGAGCCGGGATTTTGTGAAAAAGAAAAAGCAACGATCACTCTCGGAAAGAAATCTGTTATCTTGGTGTATTTCAGAAGTTTAATTTTTCTCTTTACTAAATAAAAGGCGTGTTCTTGAGGTTTTTTGCACAGGGGTGACAGAATTTAGATTTGTGATAGAGGGGAACATCTTAAACCCCAGAAATTCTGCACAGTGACTAGCTCGTGGTCCAGTATCTCCGACTAAGGTCAGTTCTACCCACCGATTGCTGCTTTATAGCTGGTACAGTAATGCTGCCCCAATGTTAATTTGAAATTGGAACAATATGAATGAACACTGTCTCATAGGCCAGTGTGATTTAACAGATTAATAGATTTTGGTTTTAAAGTTTCTTCTCCATAACTTTTTAAGAAGAATGTATTTTACCACGCAGTCATTATAAAAATGAAATATTAGGGGCGCCTGGGTATCTCGGTTAAGTGACTGCCTACGGCTCTGGTCATCATCCTGGAGTCCCAGGATGGAGTCTGGCATTGGGCTCTCTGCTGAGCAGGGAGTCTGCTTCTCCCTCTGACGCTCCCTCTTCTCATACTTGCTCTCTCTCTCTCTCAAATAAATAAATAAAATCTTTTTTTAAAAAGATGAAATAGGGGCACCCGGGTGGCTCAGTGGGTTAAAGCCTCTGCCTTCGGCTCAGGTCATGATCCCAGGGTCCTGGGATCGAGCCCGGCATCCGGCTTTCTGCTCAGCGGGAAGCCTGCGTCCTCCTCTCTCTCTGCCTGCTTCTCTGCCTACTTGTGATCTCTGTCTGTCAAATACATAAATAAAATCTTTAAATAAATAAATAAAAAGATGAAATATTAACATTTGTGAAATGATTAGAGTTGAAATTAATGGATTATATACAGTACTGGTAATTCTCACTTTAAGTTAGAGGAGGTGGAAGGCACCCGAAATAGGAACTTCCAAGTACTGCCAAAAACTCACTTAGCCTTTGGCTACAATGTCCTTGGAGCTTATAAACAACTTACAAACTGGAGTTATAAATTCTTTGGGAAGAATGGGAAGGGGGGGGCTTACATGTTCGCAAACCGCATTATCAGCTCCTTCATGAATCAGAGTTACATGTAGTTAACATGATGGCCCTTTAAGGTTGTAAGCGTCCTTAGATAGGTTCACAATTTTAAATATTAGTGTTATTAAAAATATTTCCATTTGATTGGAAATAAGTAAACTATGAAAGTTTATATGTCTAAATATCCATTTATGACCATCGTTCTTGGCAAGTTAAAGTCAGTGGTAACAAGCACGAAAAATAAGACTAGATGGACATGAAAAGTTCCGTGGCTTTATCTTCAAGAGCTTCATCGACTTTTAGAGCTCGATGGAGCTGAGAGATGGTTTTCAGGCTGCCCATTTTACAGTCTGGGAGGCTGAGGGCCTTCCCAGCCCAGCACTCCTTCACTACACTGGGACTTCTTAGAGGACATTTGAAAGAAAGACAGCTTTTGCAAATGACCAGAGCCCTCATATTACTGTTTGTCCTTTTTACAAACAGATGAAATTTGCCATTCAACATTTTACCACTTGCAAGTCCAAATAGCCACTTGCACTTCTAATGTCACGCTTGTCCTGTTCTCCAGAGGCCAGTAAAAGTACGAACCACTTCCCCTAAATCACTGAGGGACCTAGAAGAGTCCTGAAATTCCCCCTTTGTGCAATCCTAGAGACTACGAAGAATACAGAGACTACAGAGTGGAAGAGGGGACGAAGGAAGTCTCAACTGCAAAGAGGGATTAGCCGATGATGTGTGGGTCTTGGATGGATGGCACAGTTAGGGCGCTCAGAATATACAGCTGACAGTTTCGGGTTGATGCGAAGGCATACCTACACCCTGTAGTTAGACACACAGTTCACTCAGCAAATATGTTTGAGCACGTTCTCTAAAGCAGGCAGGTCTACTAGGAATACGGCAGTGAACTGTGTAACTCTGCCTTCAGTCTCTCAGGGAGAGTTAGGCAGTAAATAAAATCGAGGTGGTAACAGGTCCTATGGGGAAATGCAAGTCAGGAGAACAGCAGGGGATGTTCATGTGTGGGTGAGAATTTAGCTGTAAAAGGGGATGGGGGGGTGTCAGGAAAGCCTAAGAAATAAGGTAACAGCAAGCATCTAGCAGAGGTGGAGGGAAAGAACAGCAAATATAGAAAACGGAGGGAAAGGACGGGAAGTGAGATCAGAGAGCGGAGAGAGTCAACGCCCAACATATCCATTGATCTACTTAAATATTTACTGAACACCTGCTGTGTACCAGTACTATATGCCCTGTGCAGGGAAAGCAGACATGACTGACACAGACCCAGGCCTCCTGGAGCTTGCATTTTGGAGATAACCCCTAACTAGTACAGCTACGTGGGGAACAGCCACCCTGATCGACTCCTGAGCCGCTGTCCGCAGAGCTCCCCTGGTGAGGGTCTGTATACACACTTACCCACCCGCTGACATTCACACATGCAAAAACAACACCAAACCAAGCCTCACAGACACACTTAAGAAGCCAGTTGTATGACATCTGCCAGGAAACAGTAATTAGCTACGATTATCTTATATCATATTCATTATCCTATATACAGAGCTGCCTGTCATTTGCAGACTTTTGCGGGCCGATACTTAGTCCACCGCCGAAAGTTGTCAGGGGTTGAGAGGGGAAAAATCAAACTCAAAAAAAGTCAAATCACTCAAAGTGCCTCCAGCCCTGTCCTAATTACCCGGACGCTGTATATATACACTCTTTGCTTCCCTCCCCTCCTTTCGCTTTGTTCTACCCAGGCACACTTTAGATGCGTTGTTTCTTAAGTCTGCTGTGTTTCAGGGCACCTGGGTGGCTCAGTCTGTTAAGCATCTGCCTTCAGCTTGGGTCATGATCCTGGGGTTCTGGGATGGAATGCCACAGCAGGCTCCTCTACCCTTCCCCCTGCTTGTATTCGTGCTTGCTCTCTTTCTCTCAAAAATAAATACATAAAGTCTTTTTAAAAATAATTTTTTAAAAAAGTCTGCTGTGTTTGTCCAGATTCGTTTATTTGGGATAGGAACTGTCAGCGACTGAGTTCCTGCGAGGTACCGGCCCCTGCACTAGGCATTTTACACCCAATATTTCTAATCCCTGCAGCCATCTCACAAGGTAGGAATTACTGGTTTCAGTTTATGGATATGGAAACTGAGCATCAGAGAGGTTGAGGAACTTGGCCAAAGTTAATAAGCAGCAAGTCTGAGATATTGAACCAAGACTTCCTGACTCCCCTATCCAAGTTCCTTCTCCTATACCAGCTGGATGCATCAGGGTTTCAAAGTCAAAGCTGACATGCTCTGTGGCAGCAAGATTTGGCAGTGTATAGTGCGGGACAAAGAGACAAAGCAATGACTACGTTGTAGGGGTAATTTTTGCTATGAGGGAGGGATGTATTCAGTTTAGTATAATGGAGCAAAGGCCCCTATTTAAAGGTGTACCTATGGGGTGTCTGGGTGGCTCAGTCGTTAAGCTTCTGCCTTTGGCTCAGGTCATGATCCCAGGGTCCTAGGATGGAGCATCAGGCTCCCTGCTTGTCAGGAAGCCTCCTTCTCCCTCTCCCACTCCCCCTGCTTGTGTTCCGTCTCTCACTGTCTGTCTCCATCAAATAAATAAATAAAATCTTTTAAAAATAAAAAATAAGAAAAAAAAATAAAGGTATACCCTCCTATGACCTGTGGGAATGGGACCCATGCTTGCCAGGTCTTTCTTAAGGAGAGTGGGAAACCTTCACTTTTATGTGGCCTCTCCTGAATTTTAGAGGCGGCCAACACTACTCTGGCCAAAAACCAGACACAAAAACGTGTCTTTGGCCAACTGTGGG